AAGATTATTATGGCAGTCATGGATGGGAGGGACAGAGGTTGACAACAAGGAAATCAGCAGAGAATATTACAGATATGAGATGACAAGTACCTGTATGTTAGATGGTAGCTTCATGGTTTGACAACTAATAATTTTAGGAGAGATATTTTCAAGAATGAAGGGAAGGAACCCAATGACCAATTCTATTATATATATATATATATATATATATATATATATATATATATATATATATATATATATTATATATATATATATATATATATATATATATATATATATATATATATATAATACATATATATGTATATATATATATACATATATATATATACATATATAACATATATATACATATATGTATATATATATGTACATATATATATACATATATATACATATATATATATATATTATAAATGCAGAGAGGAAGAGAGGGAAGAAGGAAGGGAGGGAGGAAGGAAGGCTCAACCCTTATATCATCTAAATATAGTCAAGCAAAACAAAGTCCTAAAATGGCCATGCAGCCCTTCCAACATTTGCCATTTTCCTTTTTTGGTAGTTTTGTCATTCTGATAAGGGTGAGATAGAACCTTCTTTCATTTATATTTCTCTTATTATTAGTGATTTGGAGCTTTTTTTTCCATAGGGCTATAGTTAACTTAGGTTTCTTCCCTTGAGAATGACTTATTCATATCCTGATATTTTGTCAATTAGGGAATGTCTTTTATTCTTATAAATATGAAAAGTTCCTTATATATCTTGGAAATGAGACCTTTATCAGAGAAACTTGCTACAAAGATTTTTTCCCCAGTTATGTTTTCCTTCTAATCTTACTTGTATAGGATTTGTTTGTGCAAACCACTATATTTTAAGCTTCATAATCCTCTTAGTATATTTACAATGCAGACAGTATGTGGGGGTGGAGGCAAAAGCAGAGTCACTTGAGACAGAGAAAGTCTATACTTTTTTTTCCTAAAAGTGTCCATTTTTCTCTGATCAGGAAGGCAGAGGGCTGAGAATCATCAACGGATAAATAAGTATTCAATCAACATTTGTTTTTTTCCTGGTTTCAGGTCATAGTGGAATGGATTACCCAGGAAAGGATAGAGACACTCTGGCATTACTGGTTTTAATGACTTAAACAGTCATTAATTAGAGATCTAAGACCAAAATATCATCAACAGAGGAATTAAAGGTTGTGAAATTTAAAAGTAGGCTCACTCAGAGATGTCTGTAGATTTCAGTTAAAGAACTCAAGTCTTGTCACTGGGGAATAACTAAAATATTTAATTTTTTTAATGTAAGATAGGAAAAAAACCCAGTAATGTAATGAATTTTTCCAATTGATCTGTGGACCTCAAATTTTTAATCAATTCACAAGTCATTTATTTTTTAAAAATTCATATTTCCTAAAAACCTATGAGCTTTCCCAGTGAAGAGAGTATAGGACTTGGAATAATGAAGACCAAATTTTAATCCTGCCTCATGCACTTACTATGTGACCCTGAACAAGTCACTTGACCTGTGTCTCAGTTTCCCCACATGCAAGATAGGTATAACAGCACATAACTCACAGAGTTGTGAGGAACACCTTAAAACACACACACACACACACACACACACACAAAACAAAAACATAATGTCCCAAAAGTATTAGTGCAGTTTTAACCTTCAGTATCCTGAAATACACCAACACTTTTGGAATAGCCCTTATAAATGCTAGCTACAACTACTGTTGAAAACAAAAACCTGACACTTTCTCCATTTCCTAAGCAAGAGAGTGCCACCCACTGAGGCAAAGGGCAAGGTAGGGAATTTACATATTGCCAGTCTCCATAGTTGGTTTGGTGTTTTTTTTCTAGACCTACTTTATAAATGAGAAAATGAGACTGAAAGGAACAAAATTATAAATCAGGTAACCAAAACTGTTACTCAGGAATTCAGAGCTCTATACCCTTTTAATTATAATATGCTGAGATAAAGCTTCATAATGGTTACTACAAGAGTTTTAATTTGAATCTACATCCCTGGGAAACTGTGATAGTTATTTTTCTCTGGAACCAAGTACTTGGGTATTGACTTAGGGAAGCCAGCAATGGAGAGAGGTGAAGACTTCCTAAATTCTCAAATTGAAAAGAAAAAAAAAGATTTGCAGCCCAATTACAAGACTGTCATTACCAAGATGGATCAAACAGGAAGAAATAGCCACCTAGCCTGAAAAAAAAAGTAAAACCTCCTTTAGTACTCAAAGGAATAAAGCCATGTTGTTATTTATTTTAAGATAGGAATAATAAATTTGTCTTAAGGTGTGGTTTACCAAGAAGTTAGCAATATCTGAATTATATTTTAGTCATTATTGTTGTTTTAACTACACCCAGGATTTCATTGGTAGAGGGAATCCCAGTGGCAAAACTGCTTCTAGCCAAGCAAGTTGCTCTACAACTTGGTCTTCAAGAGTTCTCCTGAGCATTGAAAGAGGTTTTTTTTTTTAATTTTCAAGACTATTTTTAAAATTGTGAACTTAATCCTTATAAGCATCTCAATGTATACATAAGAAATTGAAAATTTACATAATTTACTATTGGTTAAGACATACATGTGAAAATGTAGAAGGGAAATACATATACACTAGTAGAGCTTAAAACTGCACTGAGACTTCTGGGACGATCACACACAATACATACACTCATTTGATTTAACAAGGGATTAATAAAACTGCTGTATTTATTCCATTCTGATTCTTAAAAGTTTTTGTACATTAAAAAAAAAGTTTTAAAGATACCAAGAGAGTGAGAGTAAGACAGAGAATGACAGAAAATATTACCCACTAACCTACTCTCTGTGTCTTTCAGCATTTTGTTCTTGGGAGTGTTCCATCCCTTCTAGGCCAACTTCCCTGGTAGAATTTTATTGCATAGGATCCTCCATATCATTTCAAATTTGTTTTCCCAAAATTTAAGGCATATCTCTAATTCTGCCCAAATTTCTTTTCTTCTCTCACAAACTCCAGGAACCTCCCAGTGTTTCTATAATTTGCACCCTAGCAACTAGTTTCTCCTTATTAGAAAGAATCTGATACTGAGCAGAATTTCTTATGTAAGCTTTCACTTTTTGAAATATGAAATTATCATTTAGATAAGCCAAGGAGCTATTAAGCAATTCTGCTTTTTGGCAGAGAGATCTTCAGCAGATGTCTAGATAACTGAAGCCTCCCATCACTACTATATCAGAGCATTGAAAGTTTAAGTGATTTGCTCAGGCTGGATCTCCTAGACATTATGTGCCAAAGGAAGAACTCAAAGTCATGTATTTGAACCACTTAAGACAGATGCTACTATGCCACAATGCCTCAAAAGTTTGTTTTTAGATTGGAAATTTGAGTTGGAAATTTTTAACAAACAGAAAATACCTGCCTCTAGTTTGGAAGGAAGTTACTATGTAAGGGCATTAATAGACACATATTGGAAAGCTACCTGTTTTTGGATATGAGGCCAACAACTGATGGAGGACATTTTGAAAAAAAAAAAAGAAGAAGTACAATGTTAAATGCTATTTGGTAAATTACTTTCATCATCAGCAATATTCCCTTCTGGTTAGATAACACTTGCAATGATGGTCAATTTCAATTTTACTCTGAATTCGAGCTAATTTTCTTCACTCAATTATCATTGGAAAGTACCAAAATAAGTAAATACTTAGAAATCAAATCATAGGATACTAGATTTATAGAAGAATGAAATGTAACTTTTAAGAAGGAACAGTATTATGGAAAGGATATAAGAAGCCATCAGCTCCTTGATTTCATAGATGAGGAAAGTGAGGCACAAAGTTAATTGATATAATAATAACAATGATAATGACAACAAAAGCAATAATAATAACTAGAATTTAACCCTTAAGATTTGCAAAGGGTTTTACAAATATTTCATTTGATCGTTACAACAACACTGAATGGTATATGCCATTATTATCTCAAATTTAAAGATGAGGAAACTAAGGTAAATGGAGGTTCATTGACCTACCCATGATCACATGGTCACATAGTAAGCATCTGAGTCCAGACTGGAACTTGATTTTTCCAATTCAGTGGCTAGTACTACTGCATCACCTGCCTTACTCAGGATCACTTCTTTCAATATGAAGGAAAGTCACTCCTCTAACCTCTAGCTTTTTTTTTTTGTTGTTAACACACACTCTCCTTGTATTTACCACTGGAGTTCTCCCCACTCCCCCTGCAGTGTAATGAAAGTCAAATGCTATATTTCTTTCTTCTCTACAAAGTGGTTCATTGCAAAAAGGCTGTGAGTCTAAAATAGAATTGGTTTTGATTAGGTCACTTTGAAATTCTCACAGAAACATTTTCAGAGACTTGGGACTAAATTCAGATGTTCACCCTTAAAACTGATTTGAGTGGCTGAAGTGGGATTGAATTCACATCTTTCTGATTATACATCTAGTACTCTCTTCATTTTGCCATGTTACTTTCCTTACAATTAGAAGAATAAATAAAGGTATAAAAATAAGTACTTAGCAAAGCCTGGAAACAAAACAAAAAGCTATTTGGATAAAATGGGATACCAGAGAAGCATGTATAATATACATGCATGGGTAGTATCTAGTCTTAATCCCTAGGCAGAAGAAAACAGCTGGGGTGGTAGACACTAGTACTGTCTGAGGAAGGAACTAGAAGGGGAGGCTGACACAATGAAAGACAAAAGACCCTGTTGGCATCTGCCACCAAAACAAAAGAAAACTGACTTAGTAATCTGGGGTAAAAACAAATGTTAGTTTTCTTTGTTCCCTTCTGCTCCTGAGCTATTGGTAGATGATGGCTTCGTTTGATTAGCATTCACAAATCAGAAATAATATCAACATCTCGATTAGAAGCAGATCACCCAGAGCAACATTTTGGAAACTAAATGAGCTGCAGTAATTAGCAATAAGATATTTAAATAGGAAAAGGGCCATGGACAAGATTTTTTTTTAAACAGCTTTACCTCAGGATGGCGTCCAATTTCAATGTAGGTGCAAATTGGATGAAAAGCCCCTGTTCCACAGGCATACAAGTGAGTTTGGTTATAAGCCTTAAGCACCTTGATGAAATTAGCACATTCTTTCTGTAAGAAAAAAAATATAATAAAATAAAATAAAACAGTGAATTTAGTTTGACTACCATATACTCTAGTGTGTCAGATATGCTAAGAGGAGGAACAGATTTTTTTCATTTGAGGCTTTTCACAACACTTCTAAGGCTTGTTTATAATTCAGCAGCCCATGACTATTTTAACCAAAGGTCTAATTGCTCTGCACGCAAGGGTGCATAACTTCAAAATACACACTTCTTTCAACACAAAGGAAAGTTACTCCTCCAATTTCTAATCCTTTTTCTTTGCCAAGATGTGTCCTCTCTTGTCCTGGCTACTTAATTTTCCCCTTTGAGTATAAGGAAAACAAAGTCCTATATATTTCATTTTCTATTCAAAGTTGCACATTGCAAAAAGGTCATGAGTTTGAAATAGGACTGGCTTTGAATGGGACACTCTGAAGAACTCACCTAAATATTCCAAGAGACCAGTTTTTTTTTTCTTTAGTTCAAATGTTCACACTATCAAAACTGATGTTTTCAGTTAATTTACTTGAAATTTACTTCTGGTTTATTTGAAAAGAAATGGAAGAAAGTTATACAGACAACCAAAAATCCCAACTGGGTTCCCCAGGAATTCTGGGGTAGATTAGGAGCAGGAAATTGATCAGAGTCATTATTTTTTAAAAAATTGTTTCCTATACTGTAAGTAAGGTGGACATGCTAAAATGGGAAGCTTTTGATGACTATTTGCAAACTTTAAAAAGTATAAAGAAAAAATAAATCTTGTATAAAAATGAGAATAGGAATCTATTAATTACTCATTACCAGAAATTTATATTTAACTGAGGAATATCTAAATGGGTTGTACTGTATTAGGTTAAGTGTGATTTTTAAAAAACACAGCACTCTCCCCCCCCACCATGTGTTATATAATTTTCAATGAAGATAGTTTCACATCATGAATTTTAGTGTTACGATCTTTTATATAGGATCTTTAAGGAAGTGTTGCCAGAGGTGGCGGATGGAGCAGGAGAGGTAGAAGGACAGGGGAGCTATTTGATCAAAACTTTTTTAAATATACACTGAAGTAAATTCCACAACAGAAAATATTTTCCATCCTACAAATAAACATTCTCTCCTTAGTTGAAGAAACACTAGGGGGGAAACCCCAAAATATTAAAACGTATTTTTATTGCTATAGTAATCCAGCACAGGAAAAAAGCAATTTCTTACATTTTAATAAGTAAATCTACATTGACATTATAAAAATCAACTACCATAACAACTTCAATAAGCTGTTATGGTCCACTGCCCACATAATACAAATTTTAAAAATTAGTTACATATAGTATACAATGTGTTATGAGTTATGTTATTGCACACATAACATGCATTTTTAAAGTTTTCCAATTGGGTATTCATCTGTGGGACCATAAAACCATAAAAGTTTAGCTAAAGATTGTTTTATATTTTTTCCAGATAGTTTCCAACAAGACTCAGTTTCTTTCTCTGGAAAACAGAAGTAGGAAAAACAAATAGGTAACTATAATAATAAAGGGAAAAGTCAGAATGTAGTAGAACTGAAACTGGCCAATATCATGTAAGGAAAGTTTTATCCTATTGCTACACTCAAAAAAGTTAGAGGTAAATTCATCTTGATATTACATTCAGTCTGTAAAGTAAAAAATCTTAATGGTTGAGTGTTATGGCTTTTTGGTCTGACCTTTATAAACACACATGTATTCTGTATTTTCACCTAAAACTTTTGGCCTTACCTCTATTACCCCCATGAAATGAGAACCAGGCAGCCAAAAATGAGTAGAATAATTCACAAATTAATATCAATTCAACTGATTCCTATTGTTGTCTATGAGAATCTAATTTTTCTAGGAGTAATTATGAGGCTGCCCTTCGAAAATCTGCTTCCAAAGATGTGTTAAATCTTTAAGTACAAGGCTTCAGGACTTCCTATTCCTACTCAAAACAAATCCTTGCTGCTTTTGAAAGAGAGATGTTTAGTTTTTTTTCAATTGTTTTAAGTCAGCCTTTTAAGTTCATTTTTCATCTAACTAGACCTTAGAAAATGTTAACAGAAGTCAATAATTAGTGTCTTAATTTTATAATATTTCCCTAGGAAACTTTAATTTTACAAGATTGTCTTTGTTTCATTATAAAGATACTCATTTCCACATAAAATTTTTACATAGACAAAAAAAATTAGGGGTCCTTAGTTTCTTCCCTCCCCATTTGGTCCACTTGGCTGTCCTAAAAATGCCCTGTGCTCAGAACCTGGGGCAGATTGGGAAAAATAGAATGGTTTATTAATGAAGGAAAACCATATTCTACATATGCTAACACTAAGCATTTTGTGTGTTACTATGCTTCATTCCCAGGATTACTTATATTAAAAAAATTCAGATTGGATTAAAGATTCAGATTCAGATTATTGTCACAAATAAATGGATAATTTATGGTAAAAATCAGAGGCATCGGCAAGGGGTACATATGTATCTATCCATATCATCTGTGGGGAAACATCCATGGCACCTCTCAAATCACAAACATAGGTGATTACTTACATTGCTTTACATAAAGACAATCTGAAATAGCCATTTAATTACTACTTTTATTGTTATTATTACAGTTAATATGTATATAACACCTATTATGTGCCAGGCATTGTGATAAGTACTTTGCAGACATTATCTCATTTTACCCCGGAAACAACCCTGGGAGGTAGGTGGTATTATTATAATACTCACTTTGCAGTTGAGGAAACAGAGGCAGAGGTTAAGTAACTTGTCCAGGATCATACAACTAGTAAATGAGACCAATTTTAAACTCAGATTTTCGTGACTCCAGGTCTGGCACTCAATCCACTAATTACAACAAATTTATAAATTCCATACTGACTGAGGACTTACTATGAGAGGCAGTATAGTGTAATGAGTGGAAAGCCAACTTCATAGCCAGAAAGTCCTGGGTGAGAGTTCTGCTTGTAAAACACACTGTGGCATTACCCTGTCATCTAAACTTTCAGTGTTCTAGACAGCAGAAAAGGTTCCAAACTGAAGTAAGAGAGAAAGATTCCTCACCCCCTGCCCCCGTCGAGCTCCTCACACCAATGAAATCATAGGTCTAGTTCCTATCTCTTTTCCTTATGTTAACTAAAAAAAAAAAGTCAAAACGAAAACAAAACAAAAAAAACACTATGCACAAAGTATTATGCTATGCAATCAGTATGTGTGTGAATGTGGGGGTAGAAAGGAGATATTAAAAAACAAATACCTTGTAAATCTCACAATGTAGTGATCAGGCATTCAATATGGCACATAGCTTGCATTAGCACATGCTACTATCACACTAGGCTGCATTTAGTCTATCTAATATATGGGAATAAATCTTAATCTGAAATCCAATAGAACTTCTATCATTTTAAAAAGTGGAAGGGCTTCCATTTACCTCATTTTTAGATTGATCTGAAATGTACCTAATTTCATAACGAGTTCAAAATTAAATGAATTATACCAAATCCACTTAAAGCCCCAAAGTTTCTCATCTATTACACCCCCAGGTAAAATAAAGAAATTGGAAAAGAAAGGGATTAGACTCACTATATGTTAGACAAGGGACATAAATTTCCCCCCCCCCATGCTTAAGAAATTGAAATAGAGTATGGTTACAGTTCTGAAATCTTTACTTAATTTCCCCCCCACCCCATTTCTACATGTAAAAGAATGCAAAGGGTTTGTGGGTTATTTTACTATCCTGGTGTTTTGGGTTACATGCTTACAATTTTTTAGTAAATATATTCTCTGTAAAATGTATTCCTACCTACTCATATTCCCAAGGAGTTTGAGGGGCTTTTAATTATTATCTGGAAAGCACATAGGTTTTCTGCCAATGATGAGACACACACAGAGAATATGATGGTTTTTATGTCTTTCTATCCTACCTTTCATAGATGAAGCACTACAAAAAGGAGAGATCTAGACACTCCCAAAGCTTGTAGAGAAAAAAAATAGTATCTACACACACCTTTAGCTGTGAAACTTGGCAAACAAGCTTAATGTGGATGCTGATGATTGAATGTATCAGTTCTACATAGCGGCTAAACCCACCCTATTGGCCCACAGCCTGGAATGAGTTATTTTATCACTCAATTGGGCTCTCCTAGCTGGCAGTAGGTTGTGTTTCTGCCGTGCCCTGAGGCTAGCTGGATATTGCTTTGAATGTGAAGGACCATGCAAATAGAATAGAGAAAGAGAGGGAAAAAATGAGCTCCAAAGTGTAAGATACTTGAAGGGAAACAAAAGAATTAAATGAAAATTTCTACACGGGCTAAAAATAGCACATTGGAGAATGTATCAACAGCCACTCCAGGACAGGGAAAGGAATTAAATTAACTGCTTCTATAAAAGAGCCAGGATCTTAAAAGAACCATTGTTGGTAATCATTTTTTTTTGAAGACAGATTTTACATAAATGGTTTTCAATCCTGTCATTCATTTGATTTAGAAAATAAAAGTCTGAAGTTATTGCTGCCAAGGATTTGTTAGTTCCTAAAAAGGATATTCATTTTTGTTTGGAACCAGCTTAAATATTTCCTTAGGAGGAGAGAGTGAGTATGGCATAGGAAGGAAGCGCGCTTCACACATTTCTGCTCCAAGGAGGCAGAAGAAAAGATTTTGTGACCTTTGCTTGAACCACAGCAATTCTGAAAACTTTTCAGCTGTCATGTACTTTTTGGCACTGCACTGCTCTTTGACTCACCACTAGAGGGTTACAGGGTGATGGAAGCGAACAATCCAGTCAAAGTGAACACATTTTTTTAAGCCTTTATCCTTTCCGTGTTGTATGTGGTCAAGGTTATCAACAGGCTTTGATTTGCTTAGGGCTGATCAAACATATCTGCTCCTGTGATGATGTTTGAAATATCTTCTAGTCCAAATACATAATAAACATTTAACTAAGCTCAGAAAAACTGCCCTTAAGAGATTAAGCAGCAATAAATTAGCCTAAGCAAAGTCTA